AAGTGTAATTATACCAGGGTTGCGCTGATAATTGCTATCTACAAAGTATTCTGTTTGTAATGGTTTGCACAGAAGATCATCATTTCACAGCGCGTCTGCAAAAACATCAGGTTGCAAACGCTTGCATTGAAAATTCTATGAATCATGAAAATCACAAGTTTCTACATAGGTCATTTTTTCTTTTACAGTTACGTTGGGACTTGTTTCACATTGTCACTTTCAAGTCAACAGTGGTTTTGCTTAATGTACCACCTGTTCGAACAGGTGGCGCATGTCGAACAGGTGGTACATTAAGCAAAACCACTGTGGAATTTGAAAAACACAAAATGGAATATTTTTAAAGAAGATCTAATGTTGTTTGTCTTTCCTTCTCCGTTTTTCTTTCTTGCTATAATGAGGTAATAGTTCTTCAAGTTTTTTTTTTACTGGTTAAGTGTTGGGGGGACTTGGAGTGAGGTTTGAGGTCAATGTTTCAACAAAAGTTTTGAGAGTTTCTGCACTTTTTGGTGTTCCTGTGTTTTGATAAATTTGTATTGTTTGATATGGTTGTCCCACAGTCTGGACAGGTGAAAGGCGTTTTGAGTTTGTTTAGATAATACTTTTTGAAGTAATCGGGGTCTTGCCTCCTTGATTCTTCTTCCGATGAGGTTTGGATGTCATCTTATGTAAACTGGTTCATTGCGTCAAACGTGTTGTTATCAATCTTCATGTTATGTCCATCAATGACCATAAAGGGCATAATGCTATATCTTATGTAATATAGATCAATATATTAGGTATTTATTTAAATGTTTTTGGGTTTTATGTTGAAAAATGAGGTGTCCTATCAAGTGTCCTGAAATGGTGTGAAAAGGTGTCAAAAAAGAACAGTTTAGGACACTTGTTGAAATACAGTTCCTACAAGTGTCTCATAGATTTTTATGTCAGGATGTCTCATATGTTTTTCTTTTAATGTCAGTCGTCTCATAAATTCATGTCAGGCTTGCACTGAAAAAAAAAGTGCGACTTTCAGTTTTTTTCTGAGGAGGATATAGTCAGCAAAGGCACATGTTGAAAAGGATATAGTATAACAAGACAAGGCTTGAAAAGGATATAGTCTGAAAAGACACCTCCTGAAAAGGAAATAATCTGGAAAGACACATCCTGAAAAGGATCTATCTGAAAAAAACAAATACTGAAATAAACATGTTTTTTTGATTTGAAAATGAAAACAAACTTGTGGGTGACGTGATCTTCTTTGGTTAGGTTTCCTTATTAAAAACTTTTTTTTCCTCAAAATTCCTCAAAATTTCTCAAAATCTCACTTTTTCTCACTTTTTCTCATTTTTTCTCATGTTTTCCCATGTTTTCCCATGTTTTCTCATTTAAAAACTCTTTATAACTCAAAATCTCTCAATATAACTCTTGAAAAAACCTAGCCTATCCAGAACCCACCTGGGTCAAGGTAGCACATTACAAGTGGTGAGTACTTGGCTCATGTACCCTGCAACATCTTGCAAATCCAGAATGCGATGAGTACGAATGGCTGTCTTCAAGACCATTTTTCTCGTGCCAATACGTGCACAGGACAAATAAGCACTGTCTGGAGTAAGTTCGATTTGGAACCCAAGGTTTCTCATTTGTGGAAGTGACAACAACAATGGGACATCACCTTCTTCGACAATGTCGAATTCTGTGAACTGAGTGTTCCACCCATTGTCATACATGAATGTCACAAGTTTCTCAGTGCACATGGATCGTTGGGAATTTGCAAAGAAGAATCTTGAACTTTTTGGCTGCAATTCATACGAAAGACCACTGTTGGGATGTGAGTCAACATATCTGTAGAAAGCTTCAACTGCTCTTCAAGAGCCCATAGCTCTTGTGCATCCAAGGCCAAGGATACATATAGTTGGTGGTGCAGAATTCTCTACCTCTATCTTTTCAGAGCATTCAGAATGAGATGGTGTCTCTGTCTTCTCAGAGTATCCATGGGCCGGTAAACATTGATGTGCCTTTTGCCAACGGCTTCCATGAAGCCTCACTGTCTTGTAAACCAACTTCTCTGCGGACTGGTGCTGGTCGACGTCGTAGACCTGAACGAAGTGCTTCAAGATCTCCAACCAAGACAGGAAATCTCTTGGTTCCTTCTCTGTTCTGCCGTGCAGATTCATCACGTTGGTTTTGTCCTCCTCGACGAGTGCATCTTTTCTGTTCTTGCTCTTCATAGGTGGCTGTCAAAACATCCACATGTGCTGGGTCAGTCTCTGCAACTGCAAAGAAACCATGCCCTGAGCTTGATGCTGCTGAAGGGTAGTGAGCTTGTTGTTGTTGTTGTTGCTGCTGCTGTTGTTGTTGATGATTCTGTATAGCAGGAGTCGATGAGGTCTGAGGTTGAACATAGTTGGACTGTCCTTTTCCATCTCCTGGTTTCCTCCTTTACCTTCATCATCCTTGCCTTTCTTGCCTTTCTTTCCTATTCCTTTTCCTTTTCCTTTTCGTTTCTTTTGGAAATATCCATACTCATCTAAGTAGTACAGATTCTCATAGGCCCAATAGCCTTCATTCCAGTTCTGATCATCGGCCCAATAGCCGTCATAGGAGTCATTCCATCCATCTCCTTCATCCCATTCTTCTTCATATCCCTCTTCACTCACCATGTGAGAGCGGCCTTTTCTTTTCTTCTTCCTTTCCTCGGCCTTTTCCTTTCCTTGATCTGAAGAACCTTCTTCCTCCTCTGCCTTTACCTTTGCCTCGTCTGGCCTGTCTGCCTTGGAACCTTCTCTGATACCATGTGAATTCAGCGTCATCATGAACCCAGAAGACATCTTCTAAAGCATCCAGGAATCCTTATGCGCCATCTTCATCATCTTCGGCCCAATAGCCGTCGGTTCCTTCTAGTTCACCTTCTTCCAGGACGAGGAAAGACCTTCCCTGTCCAATGCCAGAGGGTTGCATCATAGGGTTGTCAACTGCTGTTTTCCTAGTGCAAGAAAAACAGGAATAAATCTCTGAGTTCTTGCACATTGTACTGATCTAATGTTCTTCCACGATGCGTCATGATACTTGTGAGTGTGTTTCTCTGATCTTGCGTCAAATCAAATCTGCCAGACTTACAAAAATCAATGCTGACAAGTTGTCACCTAAGGGAAAAGCCAATATTTGTTGTGTTCTTCTGTCTGTGTTGAGCTGCCTGAATGCTGAAAGTGCATGTTCCTCTGTCCAAGGTACATTGACATGCGGTTCTTGTCCTGGAGTAGCTGCTGCAATGCCTGCAAGTTCAGCTTGTCGAGCTTCATGTTGGAGACGACATCGTGCAACATGTGCAATTGCTTCTGGACTGGTGGTCTCCAAATCTGGCAAGAGATCCATCCAAGACTCAATAAGTCTGTTTCCAGTAAGTTGAAATCTAGTCATCCACTTTTGCAAGTCCACTATACCTCTGTTGTATTTCATGAACTGCATGAATCGATGCAAGAACACTGTGTGGGCCCCCTTGATGAAATGCAGTCGCAAGAATCTTTTGAAATAGTTCACACCGTCGTTTGGGTATCTCAACATCTCTCTGTTCAGTAGTCTCTGTAACATGTCTCTGGTCACCTGCCGCACGCTCTTGATGCTTCGCTGTAAGATGTCTCTCGTCACTTGCCACACACTCTAGAGTGTTGTGTATTTAACATTATGCACCAATGGTCGGCAATAAAGTATTTGTTTAAACTTTAAACTGTCATGGATCACATCTGGTTGTCGCCCGGATCGTATCCGGCCAGGGAGTCTCTCAGTGATGTTCGACAAATAGGATTTCTGAATCAGTTGAAACGTCCTTGCGCTGTGTATGGTGATGGTGCAAAAGTTGGGAACCTGAGCGCAAAAGACATCGCTTTTGCTTCCGCAATGTCACCCACTACAAGACGGAGTTCACTCGCAGAACCAAAGCGAGAAAAATAAATACGTATCAGTGGAACACAGTTGCTTGACCAGATCTGGCGCCAACTGAAGCGCTTTGTGCCCTTCTCCCTGAATAGCAAAAACAAGGTGACCAAAAAGGATTTGCAACGAATCCAAAAATATGTGTGGTCCTTCGCCTGTCATTGGACACGGCAGACTCGAAAGGAAGTCTAGCCAAACCGGCAGCTAAAGCCAGCAAACGCAGACGTTGAGGCCCATGAAGAGAGAAAAAGGTGAGCACGAAACGCTGTGTTCGATTCCGTTTTCCAATTCAGATTTGCAGACTATGTGTTTGGCCCAATAGAGTTCAATGGTCAATGAATATTTTCCCAGCGTAACGTGGGACGAAAACACCATTTGTATCCATTTCTAATTTAAGGCAAAACAAGAAAACCGTCACGGCGCCACAGTTTTAAATACATCAATAAACAATAATAGGTGAAATGAAAAACTTAAAAAAAAAAACACGGGTCCGCTATCAGCGCCGGAACCTGGTTTGATCTCCGGCATTCTCGGACACAACAAGGTAAATTTGGCTGCCACTGGAACCCAGTTGTTTTCTTTTGCTGCCTGATGATTACAGCTAAGGTCAGCCAAGTAGCCATGGCAATGCAACACCTTTATGCAGCGTAATTTATGCATGTTTTCCACCCATCCTGCAAAGGGATCAATAGCCGGATAGACAAATGGGAGAGGTGGATTTTCTGTGTTTGGGTTTGATATTTTGCACGACGCGAAACGAAATTTCGATACATTTTTCGATGATTTTGCAAGAACTTCGGAGGTTTGAGAATCTATTAAGAAAATTTAGGAAGTATACAGTACATGTTTTCTTTCCTCAGACATTCCTGGTGCACCTAAAACATAGTTCCCAGTGTTAGGACACAGCAGGTATTTAAGTGCAGTCTTTGGAGGTAATCATCAGCAAACAACGCAAATCATGGAATTAAAAAATTAGGAATATTTCCGAGATTTTCCGAGATCTTCCGGCTGGGAACAAATTTAGGACAGATAAACCAAGCATCCAAACAATGCAAGTTTTTGGGATGGATCTGGTGTACTTTTGTGCCAAGGACACAGCTCTCGAGTTTTCCAGCCTCTGATGTTTCTGCGGCTCAGGCAGCACAACACAGAGTGTGTGTTTTTCCAACCTCTCATGACCATATCCTTGGGTGAAACGATATGAAACATCCGCAGGGAACCCAGCATGACTCACTTATGCACAGCCACAGTTTGTTATATTATGTGCAGGGGACATGACTGACTCTATATTTTTCTATGTTTTTCTATTAGATTGACACGGTTGGCGTGGAAGAAAATGCCAGGGTGACCTACGTCATCTGAGTCTGGAACAACTTTTGGCTCTTCATTCCACTCAAGGCACGATGACAGGAAAATAGGGACTCTTAATTCACAGAAGGAGTCAACAGGAAGATCAGGAAGGCTAGAAATAGGGAGGGATGCAAAGTTCGGTGGTTGTTGCAAGCTTGCGACCTTCACTTGGAGATGTTTGATTGATCTTGATTGGATACGTTGGCTATTTATGTTTCTTCCGCCAGAAGGTGAAGCACCAACAAGCTCAGCCGGCACTGCAATGTCAGCCTTCTGGAACTCTTTGGTCGGCGGCCGAGATGAAAGGGTTTACATAACAATCTCTCTCTGTGTACCATTTGTAGACTGCAAATGACTGCAATGTGGAAGAGAGTTGGATCTGACTTGTTGTGGATATGACATGCGCTGCAGACTGCTGCAGTGATGCACCTAAAAGCATCGCAGGAGCTCGCAGAAGATGATACTTATTGAACTATCATGAGTCATGAGAGTATATTAAAGTAAGTGGTACATACTTGGGTTCTGTTTCAAGAGTTGATGCTGAGGAGACATCCATGGTGGAAAGATTGGCTGCACGGCTACAACGGAGCAATGAGGCTGGCACAGAATGCTGCAGCTGTCAATATCATTCAATATCGAATCATATTCAATGACCCTTGTGAGTAAATCTAGAATGGAAGCCTTGGCCCAGATAGCAAATCTGGTGCTGCTCATCTATGGTGCACATCAGAGTTTGGCTGGCGCATTGCCATCTGCGGAGCATTGGTTGCTGGAGCGCAGCCTAGTCACTGCTTCTCCTCCATGTCTGCAACAACTGCAACGAGCTTTGGAAACGTTGTGACATGTGAGCCACTGCAAAAACTCTGACATTAGGAAAATTGTAGGAGGGACATTGACATTGGTTTTCAGAAGTTGCACAAAAATCCTGTAAGCATCGGATCTTCCCAACTAGCAATACCCCCCTTGAAGGTTTTGTCATACGTGTGCACATGCACCATTTTCCTGTAGGCGATACAGCGATACCCCCAAAATTTGCCATACATGTGTCATACTGGGTTCATGTCGTTTCTTGTCTCGTCTCCCCTGAAGTTCTCCCAGGTCGGTGTGCCGTGGGGAAGTGTGTATAAAAGATATATGTGATATTATTTTTCCATTGGGTCATTGCTTTTTGTAAGACCACAAAACGCATAGACATAGGCACGCTGATTTTCACCAACATGAACCTACCATTTGTAGTCATAAACCTTCTTATTGTTTGTTTGGTCATTGCAGGGCACACAACGCAGGGAGACACTGGGTCAGGGATGCTTTGCACGACTTATTTGGCACTAGGTGTGCTACCTGGGAAACCAAAGTTGCTGGTTTTTTTTGGCAACTTTCAAAGTTTGCGCGTTTTTCTGAAAGTGGCACTAATTTCTGCAACTTTTCATAAAATAGGCAACTTTGGCAAAACATGCAACTTTTTGCCCTTTGAAGTTCTCTAGCCCCACTAGCACAGATTTTGGTGAGTCAGCTAAGCAATTTCGGCCTCGAAACATTTTGAAATTATTCTGTCAAGGTTTGATTGTGGAGAAACCCTGCAGGCTCAACACATGATGACCGCAAAAGCATATCCAAGGATGTCTGATTTCATCGCTCCATGACGGGGAACGCTTTAATTCGCTCACCCGAACATTCCCTCGTTTTGTGCAACACTGACCTTTCTCAGCAGGTAATTTTTTAACATGACAGTTTTTGCTCCCCAATGGACATTTATTTGACCTTCCAACTTCCAACAGGCACCTCCCTTGACCCCTGGCAGTTGTGACCAGCTATAGTTGGAGGACAAATCGTGCAAAACCTGCACAAAGTATAGATACACAGCAGGCATAGATGTATATAGACAAAGTCAATATAGGATAGGCCGCAGAGAAGTCAAAGAAGTAGAAGGGACATTGATTCACGTATAGGAGTGAGGCCTTTTTTAGACATAGAATGGACATTTCATATACAAAACTGCCAGGGACAAGTCAAAATGTAAGACAATCAGGGCAAGTTGAGCAATTATTTGGCACCTTTCTTCAGGGCGACAATATACCCTACAGAATTTTATACAAATTGATCGATGACAAAATAGCGCACAAAGACATGAGCACATTTTCCGGGGGGCATTTCGAGGTGTCCTCTGACTTGACCATCTTGACCAGAGAGCATTAGAAGGGGACTATTTAAATTATTTGCATCCTGGTATGGCACTGATACCTGCGACCCACTCACGCCGAAAAAAAACGAGAATACGAGCCAGAACGACACAACGCGACACCGTAAGATCCAATTCGGTACCGTACGAAACCGTAAGATAATGAGAAAGTGGCAAAAAAACGCAAGAAAGTTGCAAGAAAAAAGCGTACGAAACCGTACGCGGGAATTCTTCGCATGTTCATTCAATTTCTCGCACTTTTCCCCCGTCTAGCAGGTGAAAATGCTGCAAAGCACGCCTTAAGTTTGCATTTGACTTTTCAATGCCTGCCAAAATAGTCTGCTCAAATTACCTTGCGTTTTTCTGCTAGCCAAAACACTCAGCTTCGCCATGAAAAGACTTTAAAACTTTGTACTCTAAAGGTTCTGATGCTGCCGCCAATTCAACCTCTGTAGTACTTTGATTTGTTATGATTTGTTGGAGGCAAGGCAGCCAAGGAATGCAATCCTAATTTGGTGCCTGTGAATTTGGAAAAATGCTCTTACTAGGCTTCCACAGCGGCCAAAAGAAAGCGCATGCAAGTCGAAAAGTCTTGCGGGTGAGCGATATACTGCAACAGTGCGTCATGGGAATTGACACACGTTCAATCCCTGATTGTGTTTCAGCCCCATTTTTTTTGACAAGAGTAAATAGAGTAAACTTTGTGGTTACCAACGTCAAAGTTGAACTGCGAGGAACCTTGGTTTGGTTTGATTCACGCATTGGTTTACTGCAGGAAAAACTTCAAGTCTACGGTTGGTTCTGAAACTTTTGACACTGCATGCATGCCAGTCCGAACCCAGCGTGTAAAAGTTTGTGAAAACTCTGTGAAAAACACGGAGAACATCGCAAGAAACATTGATGGTTATTATAGACTTCGTACTGCAATTCAACTGGAATTCTTGCAGAAAAAGTTATTGCTTTCTCAAGGAGGGCCATTTTGATGTTGTCATTATCATGGTAAATCATAAAGATCACATATACTGAGAGTAGAGCTTAAACATGTTTAAACATTAAATATCTTTCGCTGAAACCATGTTTTTGCTCTGGCCAAAAAAAATGGAAGGACTGGGCAACCACTACCAATGTTTTCGCAAAGGCCTAGAACGCAAAAACTGCCACTATTTCGTCAGTGGCAGAAATTTATGCAACTTTCGTTAGTGCCCTGTTTTTTTTGCCACTTGGTTTTCCAGGTATTGGGAAACAGATAATTAAACTATTGGATCGATGTTGTAACAAGTGCCGATGACAAGATCTTGTGCCAAATCGTGGTGTGCCTATGGGGAAAGGCCCACACGGGCATCTCTTATGACTTTAACTTACTGATGTATTTTTTGGCACTTCGCATAGGCACACGATGCTTACCTGTCATATCTTTGTGGGTTTACCCACTATACTCCCAAAGATGAAAGTCGTGGCAATGGTATACTTTTCCTGGATTTAGGTTGGCAGACAAATTTTAGGAAGTCGTTGCGGTCGTGGCGTTTAGGTGGTGATTTGTGGGTTTTCAATTTGGTAACACGTTTAATACGTAAAACATGTGTTTGAGCTGTGTTTTGCTTCAGTTTGGGGCTCAAAATATACACAATCGAACATATCCTGACCTGCTGCCCTATGCCTGGTGGTTCCTCTGATGGCTTTGCTTTCTCTTCCCCAGACAGTTTTAGCCTTTAGATATCTTTGGCTATCACGGTTCCTACGTCTCAACCAGTCTGTGCCCGCTCAAATTTCTCACTGCCGCCTTGTTTGCCAAGCTTGCGTCCCTTTGTCTCCCCTCTGTCTCCCTTACTCGCCCTTTGTCTCCTCTTCTGTCTCCTTGCTCTTGCCTGCAGCTGCTGCTTGGCTTGGTTTCCTCTTCTGCTCCACCGCTGAAAGCTCTTGAGTTTTACTGTTTTGAAAAGAATGCGAAAGCGTGTGGCTACCAAAGACTTTGTCAGGAGACTTTTAGGGGGACAGTCTCCCAAAATTTGATTTCGGACCTCGTTCGCACCTCGTTCGGACCTCGTTAAAATTGCAGCCAGTCAAAACCCAGCCCGGAGAGGTTTTGGAAAGGCTTTGCAATGGTCTGCTGCTTGGTCTGCTGCTGCTGCTGTTGTTGCTTGTGCTGCTGCTTCTGGGCAAGGCACGGTTTTTGGGCAGAGAACGAAGAGATTTGGGAAAGGGCTGGAAGCTGCGCGGAAGAAACCAGGACCAAAAGCATAAGAAGTCGATCCGATCAGCGGTGTGCCATGGGGAAGTGGATGAAAGGGTTGATTGGCATGAAGTAGAATTTATCATAGAAACCATAGGAATGTAACGTCGATCACATCCAAGTTTGTATATTGGAAATGCCATGAAACTTGGTGTGCCATGCGGAGGATGATCGTTCTGACTGTTCAAACAGGCGGAAGATTATTGATGTCTGGCGTAAGTGGTGTGCCATGCGGCTGGCACAAGTTCTAGTAAATGGCGTAGGATCACGCCGGGGCTCGTACCGAAATCAAACGAATCCATGTACAGAGTCATGACAAGAAAATGGGGCGTGTGCTGTAGAATTGGTCACTTTTCTCATTTGGATGGAAGACAGCTGTTTTGCTGTCAATGCGTGTGTGCCAATGGTGGTTGCCCACTTTGAACATTGTTTTATCCCCAAAGGAGATGGTATTAAATATATATATATATATCCCTTGCACTAGCTAAATTAAACCAGGGGTACACTGAGTTAGGTTTTTTTTGGTTTAATTAAAGAAATCTTACGAAAACAGGGGGTCCACCCACCTCCTTAAGATTCTGAAGAAAGTTGAGTTGGTTTAATTTTGAGATGTGACCCACCCCATGGTTTAATTTCAGCTGTTTTAGCTCATTGTGCTGCCTCGTGTTCCGCCTCGGGATACTGCAGCCATGGTTCCTGACACGTGTCCTAGCACAGCTCCGTGAAGACGATCCGGCGTGGACAGCAAGGGTCTTGCACAGTTGGGAACAGCATTGCTGCAGCCCAAATGCTCCATCTCAAGCAGAGCAAGTCCATGGGAAAGGCGCTGCGGGACCATGGTAAACTGTTTCTATCTGTTTCGGGCCCCTTGCGTGATCCCAGATCAGGTCAGAATGATTAATCAAGGGGTGGGTGAGTCCATACGTACTGAACATTCATTCATCAGGACACCTTTGGCACCACAATATTCATGGGATTTCATGGGCACCAGAATAATTAAACAAGGGGTGGGTGAGTCCACATGTACTGGGCATTCAGGATCAGTTCTTCCATTGGGGCACCCCCAACACCATAATATCATACAATATCCATGGCATTGATGGTCACCAAAATATTTAAGCAAGGGGTGGGTGAGTCCACATGATATTATGGTGTTGGGGGTGCCCCAATGGAAGAACTGATCCTGAATGCCCAGTACATGTGGACTCACCCACCCCTTGTTTAAAGATTCTGGTGCCCAAAAATCCCATGAATATTATGGTGCCAAAGGTGTCCTGATCAATGAATGTTCAGTACGTATGGATTCACCCGCCCCTTGATTAATCATTCTGACCTGATCTGGGATCACGCAAGGGGCCCGAAACAGATAGAAACAGTTTACCATGGTCCCGCAGCGCCTTTCCCATGGACTTGCTCTGCTTGAGATGGAGCATTTGGGCTGCAGCAATGCTGTTCCCAACTGTGCAAGAACCTTGCTGTCCACGCCGGATCGTCTTCACGGAGCCAAACCAGTACTCAATGATCCTGTAAAATTACACCAGGTACTGTCAAGTAGTTTGTTTAATTTCTAGCTGGGGGGACCTGAACTGGATTGTGCTGGATTATTTTCTTATATTAAAAATAATCGGAGGGTATGTTTGACTGAAAAAAATTGGAAAAATACTGCAGGGGACCCCATTTAATTAAAACAAATAAACCATGGGTCCCACCCTCCCCCCACCAATTACCGATAGGGATATAAATATATGGTTCGCAATGGCACGGACACATTTTACATATTTTGTTTGCCAAAACAACGGTGGTGAGTACTAGTGTGCCAATAGGATTTGGTCCCTGGGGTAACTTCCGGATCCCTGTGTGCCATTGGGATGGGGTAACTTCTGGGTGCCTGGGGTAAGAAATAACGTCCGCCCAGTACATGTGTACATCATGACCTTCCCACATTTGCTGATGTCCTTTTCCTGAACCTTGCGTTTCCGAGATTGGTCATGTGTAAGATCTACCGCGTCTGCTCAGAGCTTGTTTGTGTTTCATGTGTTGCTAGAATTGACATGCCCTAGTTATCAAGCCCATCGGATTTTGTCACTGGACTGTCTGGACCGTCGCGACAGGATGCAAAGGGCTTCGCCTAGTTATATAGGGTCACATACTGATGGCAGAAATATGCCACTGAAAACTGATGGCATATGAACATCGAATATCTCGAGAATCGTCGAAACCTGCCACCTGATGGTGTGATGTTTTTAGCACTGAAACAAGATAGGCATCAAAATGGCATGCCAACTCTGTGTATGTGTAGATACCTGTGGAAACATCTGATCTCAACGGTTTGCACTCTTTCCAAGAAATATTGTACAGGAACGCATTGGAAACTGCAAACTGCAGTTTTATCAGCTGTTTTCCCCGATGGAGCGCCCCAAAGCAAAGGAAAAATTCGAAAACGGCAAAGAAACCCATTGAAAGGATAGAAACTGCAACTTTTTCAGCAGTTTGGCAGAAGCCGCCCAAAGCAAAGGAAAACCTTTAAAATTGCAGAGAAAATAAGCTATGTGCCATCTGCTTGTATGTAGTGACACGCTCAAATTCCGCAGGAAACCGTGGCAATGGACGAAAGAAACTGGGCTTGGGCGCAATGAAATCATAAGAGTGATGCTTTGCTGCAGTGGGAAAAGCATGGAAATTGCAACTTTTTCAGCATTTTGGAAGAAGCCGCCCAAAGCAAACGAAAATTTTGAAAATTGCAGAGAAAATTAGCCATGTGCCATCTGTTTGTATGTAGTGACATGCTCAAATTCCGCAGGAAACCTTGGCAATGGACGAATGAAACTGGGCTTGGCCCCCTTAGCGCAATGAAATCATAAAAATGAGGCTTTCCTGCAGTGGGAAAAACATGGAAATTGCAACTTTTTCAGCACTTGTCCCGGATGGAGCGCCCCAAAGCAAGGGACAAAGTAGAAAACGGCAAAGAAACCCATTGAAAGGATGGAAATGGCAGAAGCCGCCCAAAGAAAAGGAAAACTGAGAGAATCGCAGAGAAAATTAGCCATGTGCCATCTGTTATGTAGTGACATGCTCAAATTCCGCAGGAAACCTTAGCGATGGACGAAAGAAACTGGGCTGGGTCCCCTTAGCGCAATGAAATCATTAAAGTGAGGCTGTCCTGCAATGGGAAAAGCATGGAAATTGCAACTTTTTAAACAGTTGTCCCAGATGGAGCGCCCCAAAGCAGAGTAAGAACAAGAAAATGGCAAAGAAACCCATTGAAAGGATGGAAGCTGCGACTTTTTCAGCAGTTTGGCAGAAGCCGTCCAAAGCAAAGGGAAAAATTGAAATTTGCAGAGAAAATAAGCCATGTGCCATCTGCTTGTATGTAGTGTCATGCTCAAATTCTGCAGGGAACCTGGGCAATAGACGAAAGAAACTGGTCTTGGTCCCTTAGCACAATGAAATCATAAAAGTGAGGCTGTCCTGCGGTGGGAAAAGCATGGAAATTGCAACTTTTTCGGCAGTTGCCCCGGATGGAGCGCCCTAAAGCAAAGGAAAAACTAGAAAATTGCAGAGAAATTCATTGAAAGGATGGAAACCGCAACTTTTTCAGCAGTTTGGCAGAAGCCGCCCAAAGCAAAAGAAAAACTTTGAAAATTGCAGAGAAAATAAGCCATGTGCCATTTTTTTTGTATGTAGTGACATGCACAATTTCCGCAGGAAACCTTGGCAATGGACGAATGAAACTGGGCTTGGCCCCCTTAGCGCAATGAAATCATAAAAGTGAGGCTGTCCTGCACTGGGAAAGCATGGGAACTGCAACTTTATCAGCAGTTGTCCCGGGGTGGAGCACCCCAAAGCACAGGAAAAACTAGAAAACGGCAAAGAAACCCATTGAAAGGATGGAAACTGCAACTTTTTCAGCAGTTTGGCAGAAGCCGCCCAAAGCAAAGGAAAACCTTTAAAATTGCAGAGAAAATAAGCTATGTGCCATCTGCTTGTATGTAGTGACACGCTCAAATTCCGCAGGAAACCGTGGCAATGGACGAAAGAAACTGGGCTTGGGCGCAATGAAATCATAAGAGTGATGCTTTGCTGCAGTGGGAAAAGCATGGAAATTGCAACTTTTTCAGCATTTTGGAAGAAGCCGCCCAAAGCAAACGAAAACTTTGAAAATTGCAGAGAAAATTAGCCATGTGCCATCTGTTTGTATGTAGTGACATGCTCAAATTCCGCAGGAAACCTTGGCAATGGACGAATGAAACTGGGCTTGGCCCCCTTAGCGCAATGAAATCATAAAACTGAGGCTTTCTTGCAGTGGGAAAAGCATGGAAATTGCAACTTTTTCAGCACTTGTCCCGGATGGAGCGCCCCAAAGCAAGGGACAAAGTAGAAAACGGCAAAGAAACCCATTGAAAGGATGGACATGGCAGAAGCCGCCCAAAGAAAAGGAAAATTGAGAAAATTGCAGAGAAAATTAGCCATGTGCCATCTGTTATGTAGTGACATGCTCAAATTCCGCAGGAAACCTTAGCGATGGACGAAAGAAACTGGGCTTGGTCCCCTTAGCGCAATGAAATCATTAAAGTGAAGCTTTCCTGCAGTGGGAAAGGCATGGAAGCTGCAACTTTATCAGCAGTCCGTAAAGCAAAGGAAAAACTAGAAAACGACAAAGAAACCCATTGAAAGGATGGAAACTGCAACTTTTTCGTGTGACCCCTAAATCCATCGAAAATTGCATTCAGGCATGCCGTTTGTTTGAGTGCAAAAACTGGTGAGGTATCAACAGGTTGGTTATTTGCATTTATGATGGCATATTGACGTCCTTTTGCTTATGCCATTTGTTTGAACCCCCCTATACACACTTATAGTTGTAAATTGTAATATGATTAGTAATACTGTATATTATGATGCATGCATGAATTTAGGGCAAAAAAACATTCTAGCATGCTTCGGCTTGTGGTGAAAGAGTTAGCAATTCCTGGTGATTAAGACATGACTTGCCCGCGCAGGAGAAAGATGTTCTGCTATTTTTGCCGAAGTGTGAACTTCGGCCTTTAGATGAGCACATTGCCGCCTATTGCCACAGCTACCTCATCAAGGCAACAAGTGGAATGTGGCCTATGGATGTATTTGTTGGCTAGGGTATTTTTATCGGCTCCCAAGCCTTCACATCGACGGGAAAGCGCATCAACCTCTCAAAAGAAAGTCAAGCCAGTCATGTCCAGATCCTTTGCCAAGAGTTATCCAAGAACCTGATGCAAAGCGAGGCGAAGCGGTGCTGTTGCATCGGAATGATATGACTCAGATACGAGCAGTGCTGTTGTAACAATCGTTGTATGATACAAATTGGAAGGGTAATACGGTAATACGGGAATATACGGAGAATTATGGACCCTGGCCACCTCTGCAGGCTGCAGCTACGGTGCCTCCACAGAGAAGGCGACTCCACTGGGAGGCCCGGACTTAGCCGGACCGGCCGCTTTATGACATATTGCTACAATAATTCTGTATAATTCTGTGCTTCTCTGTCGTTGCCTAAGGATACACTGGGCTCTGCAGCTTGGGATGGTAATTAGGTGATGATGATATCTGGTAGTCAAGAGCACAACGAGTTGAGGAGAGGTTTAAGGAGAGTGGTGAGGACATTCTTTTGTGTCATTGCTGAATCTGCAAGGTGCAGCTTTGCGAAAGGCCAAATGATTTCAAGGAGTGTCGAAACATGTTCAAACGGAAGATGCAAAAGATGATACTAGCACATTTTTTGATAGCTTTGATCTTACGATCTGTTTGTATAATTTGTAGGTTATCTTTGTTGAAGGCAATACGATGCAATAGGATGCAATAGGATCGAAGTGGCATCTCTGCAGGAAAAGCTTCGAGGGTCATTGAGGCACCAGTGGAATGGGATATGCCAGAGAAAGCCGAGGTACTAGCGCTAGCGTTAAGCCGTATCAGCTCGTAAAAGTCGTACGGGGAGGCCGTGCGCCTGGAAAAAGTTCAAGCTTGGCATCACCACAACTTTTAGTAATTCAACGATTTCATTGTTTTGGGGCCGCGCGCCTGGAAAAAAAACATTTTTGTATTGCGTTGATTTTTGAAACTTATATATATATATTATAAATATATTGGCCAGCCCGTAGCTGGCTTAAAACGTGGGCTGGGAGGGGAGGGGGCGGTGCACGGAAGGTGCTGGAAAATGAAAAAGTGGTGCTGGGAAAAAAATGTGGGGAAAATGTGGTGTTCAAAATCAAAAAATTGGTGTTTGGGCCTGGTGTTTGATAATCCTTTTTGCGGTGTTAAAAACGCCTTTTTGTGGTGTTAAAAACGGCTAAGTTTGGTGTCAAAATTGTGGTTTTAGGGGTGGAGGATGTCAAAAACAAACCAACCAGTCCCAACATATGGGAAGTCAATGCTCAGGAGAAACCAAATTGCAGCCACCATTATCTACTGCAATATTCTATTGCTACAACTTGAACCACAATTTTTTAACAGTTTACAACAAGGAACACCGCCCTGTGGGAACACAGCCGCAACCCTTTCGCTCTGGCCCAACATGACCAAATTCTACCCGGATCCAGAAGATGCTGTGAAACCGTGAAACTGTTCAAGTGAAACTGCTGGGCTTTCGGAAGCTTGAGCTTGGAAACAAAACCTGTGACTGTGACCCAACTGGCCCAACAGAACCTGCTGACTCAATGGCACAGAACTATCATCAAGATCCGCACTCTCGGAAGCGGAATCTTCAACAGATGAGAGCGCAGGTAATTTTCCGTTTGGTTTGGGATTTTAGGTCGCGCCCTTTTTCTTTGTTTTTGGAATCCTTTTTGGGCGTAAAAAGGGCGCGCTTTTTTAACCCCTTTCGAAATGTCAATCCGGGAAGGGTTTGGTCTGGTTTCAGCCGGTTTCAGCCCGAAACAGCGCGTTTTTTGACACCCAAAACCTTGAAATTTGACACCTAAATTTCCTCAAATCGGCACCGGATTTTGCGAATCGGGAATCCGTCGGGAACCCGTCGGGAACCAGTCGGGAACCAGTCGGGAAAATCCGCGCACCGCCCCCAAAGGCATGAAAAATGCTAAAAATGCATAAAAATGCATGTTTTTTGAAGCTTAGACATAAGCGCTACTTTTAAGAAGCATGAGTGGGATGAGAGGACTGGTCAATCCTGGGGCTCAAGGCTTTTTCCCAGGTGGCAGTGACTAGGTGTTGGGTTGGAACCATGCTCCGACCTTTAGTGGGCCTAGTGTTACTCGTGCATGGCAACTCTGGATGGTGGGCACCGGCGAATGCCACTGACCCGCCGGAAGGACCATGGAAGGCCTGGGCAAGAACGAAATCCCCAAGACTTGTGGAGCAGATGGACACCTTCGCTGATTCCATGGACGGTGTGCGAACAACGTTGCTGGACTGGGGTTGGCAAGGATGGGACCGAGGAATTTGGTCCTTGGCCGATGGTCTCTTGGGTTTAGCTGGATGGGGCTTGTTTGGCTCAGTATATGGGGCGACGTGAAGAACGGTTTCCGTCGACTGTTTCAGTTGGGCATCGTTTTGGTGCTGTGCATAGTGGCTCACTATGTATGGGCAATTTGCTGGCCGATTGTATCACTGGTGATCGCTGTCCTGATGACGGTGGTGTGGATCGTCAGGAGAGCTGTTCGGATAAGTGGCCGCGTGATGTATCATTTGCAGCGTTTCTTTGGTGGAACGCCAGAAGCTGTGGATGCAGAGTACCATGGTCCTGGAACAGGATCCACTCCTGAGACTGCAGAGCTCCGGAAGTTCAAAGCTGGCAGCCACGACAAGTGGATCGTGTTGAAGAGAGCGCAGGACGTTGTGGTTTTTCGAGTGGGGTCTGAAGCTCAGGCCATCCGTTCTAGGGGTATGTATGTGGGAGTGGAACCTGACAGTATGAGAGGTTCCCCTGCTTTGATGGCAGAACTCCGTGGCCACGACCGAGTTCATCTTTGTCGCAACGAGTCTTGTCCAGAGGATGGGCAACACTTCAAAGTGTATGGGTTAGCTAAGAAGTACGACCCGGAGAAGTTCGAACTTGCACTTGCAGCTGAAGGCGCCAAGCAGGCGGGCAGCACACTCTGGCGCTGGGCGTGGGCGGGTGGAAAGGTGGTCAAAGTCAAAGACGGGATGGCAGACTTTGGTTCTGAATCTGAAACGGAACATCTTCCTTGCAACGCTCACAGGGTGCGCTGGTCTTTGGACGGAGGTGATGTTGTACTGAGCGCCGGGCCTTGTACAGAGTCAGCTAAGGAGCAGGTCACGCTTCTTGCTGAGGATGACTTTCAACCACATGCTGTAGGTAGTTTTTGTCCCACTCATGCCAGCAAGTACCTTTGTACTAGGTATATTAACAAGTGTTGTCACACTGGTTGTAAGCGCTTAGGGAAGGCTTCAGCTTTGGGTGTGAACGTGTGTTGGGCACATGAACAAGAAGGGATCGGCAGACGTTCTCGCTCCCGCTCCCGGGACCGACGTCCACGTGCAGACAGTGGTGATGGCCGAGAACGTGATCGAGATCATGAAGGCAGTCCTCCGGGAGAAGGTCAACGCGTTCCAGACGGGGGCTACCAACGTCTCTTGGACGAGCTGAAGGAGATGCGTGAAAGTCTTCCCAAAGAAAAGGATGGGGAAGAACAGCCTCGGAGAAAACGACTAGCCTCGAAATCACCAGGGGTGACCCCGAAGTCGTCGGTTCACAGGAGCTTGGCAAGGTTGGGCATGCTAGACTCACCAGACGGCGGGGATCATCGCAACTGGCTGGAGGAGTTCTTTGAGCGCTACACACAAGGGCGAGATGTTGAATTGTCAGAGAACCAGGTTCGACGAGCTATGGCTGAGGAGAAGGGCATGGGCATTTCTGAACTTAGCCGAGTTTTGCATCGTTTGGGATCAACAGAACAATCGAGGGGACAGAAAGGGCTGACAAAGTTTCTATCCAAGTGGAAGGTGGACTTTGAGGATGAAGAGGATGGGGCTTTGGGTGCGTCTGACGCCAGCTCCATACCTAGATCATGGAGCGTTCTCAACTCCGAGTCCCCTGGGAAGGTGTCGACTCCGCCGGGTTTGGCAGAGACCCCGCCACAGGTGCTGGAGAAGTTTGGCACACCGTTGGCCATTGGGGCCCCTACCATTTATGGTAAAGGCGATAGACGAGCTGGTGCGGCATCAGGCAGTGGCGCCGACCCTATGGCAGCTTTGGCACAAGCAATCCAGTCACAGACCGCAGAAATAGCATCTTTGGTCAAAGCACAGACGGAAGTGTCTAGCCATCCTCAAGGTTCCGTGAAGGGCATCAATCGTCTGTCAGAGGAGATGGTATACATCATGCGAGCATGTGACCAGTACAATGTTGCAGTTTGCCCAGGTGAAGTTGGAGGAGCTTTGGCAAATGCGCTGATGGCGGCACAGATTGGCGCGGCTACCAAGCTGAGGGCTATGGGTTTTCGCCAGAGGATGACTCAGAGGCTCGCGGTTGGTATTGCAGGGCCATACTGGGGTTCGCAGGAGAAGTTTTGCCTTGGAGCGTCGGACTTTATTCACTACACGGACGCGGAGTTGGACGCTTTTGCAACAGACCGTCAGGTGAAGACGGGGGTTGAGCAGCGACCGGCGGTCCCCACCAAGTTGGAGGAGTGGACAGCCAGGGCAAGGAGACAAAACCAGGTGCGGTGCCTGGTCTATGGCGCTGAATGGAAAGAGGTGCGAGAGCATGCTTTGGAGACTTTGACCGAATGGCACCAGGAATGTCCTCACAAATGGCCTCTTACCGTGGTGATGGATGCATGGGAGCTCACTCTCACCCACTCACTCTCACCCACTCATTCTCACCCATTCACTCACCCACTCACTCTCTCACTCTCTCACTCACTCTCACTCACTTTCACTCACTCTCACACACTCTCACTCACGCTCACTCACTCTCACTCACTCTCACTCACTCTCACTCACTCTCACTCACTCTCACTCACTCTCACTGACTCTCACTGACTCTCACTCACTCTCACTCACTCTCACTCACTCTCACTCACTCTCACTCATTCTCACTCACTTTCACTCACTCTCACTCACTCTCACTCACTCTCACTCACTCTCACTCACTCACTCGAGTGAGAGTGAGAGTGAGAGTGAGAGTGAGAGTGAAAGTGAAAGTGAAAGTGTGAGTGAGTGAGTGCGCGAGTGAGTGCGTGAGTGCGTGCGTGCGTGCGTGGGTGGGTGAGTGAGTGAGTGTGAGTGAGTGGAGTGTGAGTGAGTGTGAGTGAGTGTGAGTGAGTGAGAGTGAGTGAGAGTGAGTGAGAGTCAGTGAGAGTGAGTGAGAGTGTGTGAGAGTGAGTGAGTGTGAGTGAGTGTGAGTGAGTGTGAGTGAGTGAGAGTGAGTGAGAGTGAGTGAGAATGAGTGAGAGTGAGTGAGAGTGAGTGAGAGTGAGTGAGAGTGAGAGTGAGAGTGAGAGTGAGAGTGAGAGTGAGAGTGAGAGTGAGAGTGGGAGTGAGAGTGGGAGTGAGAGTGAGAGTGAGATTGAGAGTGAGAGAGTGAGAGTGAGAGTGAGAGTGAGAGAGTGAGAGTGAGAGTGAGAGTGAGAGTGAGAGTCAGTGAGAGTCAGTGAGAGTCAGTGAGAGTCAGTGAGAGTCAGTGAGAGTCAGTGAGAGTCAGTGAGAGTCAGTGAGAGTCAGTGAGAGTCAGTGAGAGAGTGAGAGAGTGAGTGAGAGTGAGTGAGTGAGCGAGAGTGAGCGAGAGTGAGTGAGAGTGAGTGAGAGTGAGCGAGAGTGAGTGAGAGTGAGCGAGAGTGAGTGAGAGTGAGTGAGAGTGAGTGAGAGTGAGTGAGAGTGAGTGATAGTGAGTGAGAGTCAGTGAGAGTGAGTGATAGTGAGTGAGAGTCA